TAGTGTCAATTCACTGTAATGGTTAAGAGCAAGGGCCCTGGATTTTAAAAAACTGGGCAAGAATCCCACCTCTGTCACTTATTAGCTAAATACTCTTGGACAAGTTACTTAATCTCTCCAAGTTCTGGTCCAATCCTATACAACGGGTTCATCAGGACGCCCACCTGGGAGGTCACTGAGGGGACTCAGAAGCAACAATGCATGTAAGGAACACGGCCCAGTGCCTGGCACAGGGGCATGCTCAATGGGGGTGGCCATTATTTTGTAGGATGATGAATGCTTTATCATCAAATTTCCTCACAAAAAATCTTTTAATGGGGAAAAAAAAAGTGCCTAACAAAGCAATCTCCTCATTAAGACTTTCCATATGCCTTGCGGGCTGGAAGAGTCAGAAGGATCCAAAGGTCACTGGAGCCGAGAACCTGTCTAGATGGGCCTCGCTTGCTCTTCCCACCGCTGACCCCACCCCAAGCCACTGGCGGAGTTGTGAAGCCCTTCCTGTCCTGTGTCAGCACCGCAGTGGTTCACTTGCAGTGGTGTGTCCGTGCACCCCACCCAGGGGTGCAGCCCCCCTAGCCTCCATGCCTGCAGCCTGCACAGCATGGTTACCATCGCTGTCATCCTGGCAGGAACGACTGGACCCCACTTGCCCCACGTGTGTAGGAGGAAATTACTGTAAGTGCTCCTCCACAGGGCACTAACTTTACTCAGTCTCTGTAGGAGATTAAGTGACTCTGTCTTCATGGCTCTGACATCATCTCAAATGTATGAACACTGGCCCAGGGTTTAATAAATTTCAGCCATCATCCATTCTCAACTTTTGCTTGGGTTGCAGTTCCTCTATTTAACAGAAAACAGTCATGGACCAGATGAAAGCAATTTTCCCACATGGCACCTGCATTTTATTTTCCAGTCTCTCAGAAAAAGACTGCACCTCTCACCTTGCAGCTATCAGGAGCATGCGGAACGCTGCCATCTACATGGACCTCACAGGAAATGATGCACATTCCCCAAATTCTTTGCAGGACAAAGGGGCCTCCCTGTTTCTGCCCCACACTGTGCAAACAACAGGAAGTGCTGAGCAGCAGGGAGGGAGGGCAGAGACCGCGATGTGTGTCCCTATTACTGGGGACTGGACACCTTCAACACTGGACAAATTAATGTGGAGTACCTACCACATGTTGAGAAATGTGCTCAGGGCTGGATTGACAGTGCATGCAAGAGAACTCTGTACCATCCCTCATGGGTCTTACATTTTTCGGGGATCCACAATTAACCACCATAATTGCAATTGTGAGACAGGCTACAAAGGACGAGGGCAGAGTGTGAGAGAATACAGAACACGGGGCTGGACTCAGTCTGGAAGTCACTAAAGGTGTCCCTGGAAAGCAAGACTTCGGCTGAAATCTGCAGTTCACCTGAGAGTAAGCTTGGTAAGGAGGAGTCCAGAGGAGCTCTACAGGCTGGGCTGAAAAAGCTACGGGACTGACTAGCAGCAGCAGATGCACGCTGTATCCAGGACTGAGAAGTGCCGAGTGGCTGGAGTGGGCAAAGCCAGAACACGCAGGGCCTGCAGACCACATTACAGAGGTTCAGTCGTATCTGAAGGTTGAAAGAAGAGGTGAGAAGATCGGATTTATCTTCTACAAGATGATTTGGGCCATATGGAAAAGGAAGTAGGGGAGGCAGGAGCAGATAAGATCCAAACAAACACTGGGGTGGCAAAGTTCACAGCAGCACCGTCCGCAAGAGCCAAAAGGTAGGGAGAGCCCAACTGTCCATCAACTACGGGACCGATAAGCAAACTGTGACATACACAGACGATGGACTATTCCTCAGACTTAAAAGGAATGAAGCACTGACACAAGCCACACCATGAAAGAACCTGGAAATCATGTCTGGTGGAAGAAGCCAGACACAAAAGGCCCTGTATTGTAGGATTCCATCTATATGAAATGTCCAGAATGGGCAAATGCACAGACACAGAAAGCAGATTTGTGGTTGTCAGGGGCAAGCGGGAGGGAGAAACAGGGAGTGACTCCTGAACAGGTATGGGTTGCACACTTGAGGTGATGGAAGATTCTGGAAGGAAATGATGGTGATGGCTGCACAGCACTGCAAATACCTTTAATGCCACTGGTCTACACCACTCCCCAAGGCTGCACTGTCTACATGTCAGCCGCAGGAACCCTCGCTCCCCCACTTCAGACCTGGCGGCTCATTAGCAACAGCAATGGGGACAACGGACAGGTCTGTTCCTTCCCCTCTGCGCTCCACATCATATCCCACATTTGGACGTTCAGGTTAGTTATGATGTGAACATTGTTGTAACAATAACTCGTTAATGAACACAGCACTACGCTCATGTCTATTGTATTTCTTCTACTCAGCAATCCTGAAAGTAGATTATTATTAACTCCATCCTACAGATGAGCAAATTGGGTTCAGAGAGGTTAATTAACTTGCTTAAGATCCTACTGTGAACAAATACGAAACCAAAAATTGGAATGCAAGTCTTTGGCCTGCAAGTCCAATATTCTTTCCACAATATCACCACTTCCATTCTAGAAAACCAGATCTCCACACCAATAATGTGAAAATTCCATCTCCCTTCAAATAGAGGGACAAAAACAGTACTTCTGGCTGACAACAAATCATCCAACATTTGACCATACTTTCCACTGGGTTCTTAATTGGGAAATAGCACAAATATTTCCTAATTATATCATTTGTAAGGTCTCCAAGCTGGAAGCAAATCTCCTTGAGTTCATGATTAAGAGATGTGTGTGTGCGCATGCATGTGTGTTCTGGTCCCCTTAATCCCAAAAGGTCTGTCCTATTTATAAGTACATCACAAGCTTATGATAAATCCTTGTTGATGTGAAAATAAAATTAATATAAATTCACTAAATTTTTACAAATAATGCTTGCATAGGCCATGTAATACTTTGGGGAGAACCACATTTCCCAACTCTAAAATGACTATCTGTCAGTTAGACCCCAATCTCGGGAAAGGTTCCCAGTTACTTAAGGAAACACTGGCCTCCACCGCTCATGCTAGTGCATCTCAGAGCACTGCAGGGAACAAGGATGCACGCTGCCCTGAAATCAATCTGGACTCAATTTTACAATCTATATCAATCACTCCTACCCCTATTTCACAGACGATGAAGGGGTAAGTGAGTTCAACCATTCTACCAGGGACAAGGATTGCTCCATATCCCCTTCTGACCGCAGCATTTTGCCTCTGGGGACTTGGCTCTCAGGGACCATCTAAACGGAGACAGACTGGTGACCAGAGCTGGACATGGCTGCTCTACCTGAGCCATACGACCAAGGGCTGTCACAAAAAGGGCCAGTCAGAGGGCAAGGACAAAGCTTCATGAAAAGAGAGACAGAAACATAAACATGTAATAAAAAGGGATTTAAGGAAACAACAAACAAGCTCAGAACTAAGGGAGTAGATAAGTAGCTGAGTCGCAGAGAAACTCGATAAAGTTCACACATGTGCGTGCTCTTCTTGTCCTGCATCTGGGGGCTCAGTCACTGCGAAGGTCATGCCATGACCACGTGGAAAGAGGAACCAATGAACCTGGTTGGGGCTTTCGATTCTATTCCACCAATAATGGACCGCACGGTACCGAGCAGGTCCCATTGACCGCGTGACTCCATTCTCTCATCGGTACGGCAGAAATAAATCAGTGTTTCACAAGACTCTTATGAGGATGAAATAAGATGATTCATGTGAAAGCGCTTAGAGGACTAACTGAATAAGAATGTGTGGATGTGGATGAAAGAGGTGTGTTCACTGAATGAAAACACTGACATTTTTAACACCTTCCGGCATGCCTGCCTTACACAAAGAGCTTGTGCATGTCTTATCTAGTTCACCCTTCACAAGATCACTCTGTGAGGAAGAAATCATGATGATGCCCTTTCCAGAGGAGGAAACTGACATGCGGAGACTTTCAGAGCACACCAGGTCTTGCAGGAGCCTTACAGGGGCAGCTTGAACAGTCAGTAGAATTTCAGTCCACATTATTAATCACTTAATAAAAATAATGAGGAGGAGGTGGAGAAGGAGACACAGAAGTAAGGCTCACAGATTGTCCTATTTGATTCCCATAACAACCCTATGAGGTAGATATTGTCACAGCCCCACTTCACAGATGAGAACACTGAGGGAGGGAGAGGTTGATTAACCTGCACGGCATGGTGCTGGGAAGCCACGGAGTCTGTCAAGCCTGTTTGCGAAGCAGCACGGGCAAATGGACAAGAAAATGGACCTGAGAGCCAGACCCCCTAAGCTCAAATCCCAGCTCCCTCACTCCCTTGTTCTGTGACCTAAGGCCAGCCACTTCACTATCCTGTGCCTCGGCTTCCCCATCTGAATAGTAGGGACAATAGCACCAACCTCAAAGGTTGTTATAAGGATTAAGTAAGTGAATACATGCTAAGTGCCTGTTCCTTAAAGTGTGATCCATGCACCATTGGTGGCCCCTGGGAGCTCATTAGAAATGCAGCATCTTGGGTCCACTTCAGACACTACACTGGAACCTGATCCGAGGGAACTTGTCTGCACACTGATGTCTGAGAAGAGCTTAGAGCACTATGGTTAAGGGCTATGCTAGCTGATGTCTTTACTGTCATTACAGATAATGACACAAAGCGTGAGTGGGGGGGGAGGGGACAGGGACTGGTGGGAAATGAGCCTGGTGGAGGGAGCTGGGGTATACTGTAAAGGACCCAGTCAGGAAATCAGGTGCTGTCCTGAAGGTTTTAGAGAGACAGAGGCCATGAAGGGTTGGGAGTTTTAGGATTCTCTTCCCAAAAAAAGCCAACCAAACAAATGAGCAAGCATTAGATGAACAAGTATCACAAGATTCTCTACTGCAAACCAAACTCATGTGACTCTGCCAGAGCCCAGGGCATCCTTGAGCACCCACCAGGGAACTGGACGATGGAGCCTTGCCCAGGCCTGTGTCCCACACCTGACTCACCGAGGGACCCCTGAGCAGATGCAATCTCCCTTTCACTCTTCCCCACCAGTGGGTCAGGACCTACAAGGAGGCAAATAAGGAAATTCATGTTAAAGTATGTTACAAACAGGGAAACACTAGGCAAAAGTACGGATTCTTACTGGAAAAGCAATTCTCTTCCAAATGGAAAAGCACCAAACACACCATAAGAAAACCTGGGCCCTAGGATTCAGAACCTAATCCAAGAAATGTCTGTGAGATTCTAATTCAACCAATCTGGGTGCGTGTGTGCAGGGTGGAGAGAGTATGAGGACTGTGAGGGAGTCCAAAAGTCTTTTTATAGAAAACATCCCTAGATTGTTGTAATGGCAATTTAGGATTTAGAAGGGTATGTCTCAAACTGGAATGCAAAGAAGAATCTCCTGACAGGTTGTTCAAACATGGGATTCCGGGGCTTTACCCCCAGAGCTCCTGATTCAATAGCTCTGGGCCGTCCTAGTTCACTAGGGCTGCTGTAACAAAGCCCAACAAACTGAATGGCTTCCACAGTAGAAAAGTATCTTCCGCAGGTCTGAGGCCAGGAGTCCAAGATCAAGGTCTGGGCAGGGTGGGGTGTGACTTCCGAGGGCTGGGAGGGAGAATCTGTTCCATCCCATCCTCCAAGCTGCCGGTGCTCTGCTGGCCATCTCTGCTGTCCCTTGGCTTGCAGATGCACCAACCCAATCTTGGTCTTGATGTTCATGACATTCACCCTGTGAGCGTGTCTGTGTCTACATTTCCCCTTTTTAGATGGACACTAGCCAGACTGGCGTAGGTGGATCCATCCAGTATGACCTCATCTTAACGAGGAATGCCTACCATGACCCTACTTCCAAATGAGATCACAATCTGAGGTCCTGGGGTTTAGGACCCCAACATACGACTTTTGAAGGGACAATTCAATCCCTAACACCTACCTTACCCTGCACATAACTCACAGCCCCCGAATCCTAATGAATTCAGGTCATTGTAGTAATGAACGACCCACAGCACATAACTTTTTCTTCTTGTCCTATTCAGCTCCTCCTAAATACATATCTCTTTGCTATTGTACCTTCCCTCCTGGACTCCTGCAAGTTCTCCGGGAATAAAGCCGTGGGCTTCCGCAGCAGGACTTCTCAGAGCAGTATCCCATCAATGCCCATCTTTGTGAAGGCGGCATTCACCAGCTCAGTGGTGCTTTGTCACTCCAAGCCCTTCTCCTTCCCAGGACCCCAGTGATTACCAAAGAGCAACTGCCTCCCTGATGCATCTACAGAGCTGGAAATCTGCGGTTACCATGGTTAATATTTCTGACTTGATTGGCACCACTAGTAATTGAACTGCAGTCTCTCGAGTGCAACACGCTCTATTCATTAGCTCCTATTGTGTTGGGCCATTGCATCAAACCACATTATTTTTCTGCTTACGAAAGAAAGAAAGAAAGAAAGAAAGAAAGAAAGAAAGAAAGAAAGAAAGAAAGAAAGAAAGAAAGAAAGAAAGAAAGAAAGAAAGGAAGGAAAGAAAGGAAAAGAAAAGAAAGGAGGAAAGAAAAGGCAGTCATGAATACAACACTATGTTGCCATATGAGATGCTGCAGTTTTGCTTCGAGGGGGAAATCGTTCTAGACGGAATGTAATGTTGTACCAGCTCTGGCCCCATCAAGAATGGTGAGATGTAAAGTGAGAAATCTTAATTGTGGTGGCACAGTCACACAGAATCAGAGCTAGAAATCAAAACTAGCCGAGTCCCAGTGTTTGTGTCATGAAGGCAACTGCTCATTTGTTTACCATACTGTCAGCATGCCTAGAACCATCTTTGAATTCATGTCTCCCTCACATCTATTTATACCCCGCCCCCATTCCCAGCATTTCAGAAATCTTTTGTGAGCTCGGGGAAGTTTTTCTTTGATGATTTAATAAAAAATGTATGGATTTGTAAAATCCTTGCATTTTTATGTCAGGATTCTATTTTTAATAATCACAACAATGTTTTGTTTTTCGGCTGGAACAACCATTTGACTTCATTGGACTTGTGCTCCTCCTTTCTCTCTCTCGTCACCACAGCTGCTGGAGATGAACCAACTTCAGACTGTGTACCTGTGTGCACGACGGCAGGAGTATTAATAGTAACAAAGAAAATGCAAAAAAAAAAAGTAAGAAAAGGTACAAATAACAGTAACATTATTAATACTACCAAATGCAATAAAATAAGAAAAGGTGAATTTTTTGGTTTTGTTTTGATTTTTTACATTCCAGCACTTATTTGTAAAACTATTCTGGTTTTATAATTTCGGGCTTAGGAAATGGGAGATGGTAAGACTTCAAAACCCTGAGTGTGAGCACTGCCATCACCTGCTGTCTGGGCCCACATCACCGAATGCTGGGGACACAGCGGCACTGGACGGGAAGCCAGCCCGTCTCTGTGTGTGAAGGACATGGGGCTCTCGTGGATTCTCTCTTCCCTTCCTGCCTCAATCTAACCCTGACATTTCTCTCCCCCACAGAGTCCCTCACATACCCGTCACCCGGTGCTGCACCAGGCCCTGTCCCTGCGTCCGGGCGTAGTAGAGTTCAGAAATCACCTCCCCCCTGACTAACTGCTTCTGCTCCCCCTCTTGATTTAGTATCTGGCTAACTTCCTAAAACTACTTTGCCTTCATTTCCTGAGAAGGTAGACGATACTAAAAGTATCTCCCGTCCCGAAAAAAAAAAAAAAAAAAAGAGTTGACAGACTCAAAGTCCAATGACCACCACCACCACAAAGTTGTGTTTTCCCAGCACTATGTTACAAACAGGAGTCTGGCGTCTCTGGGCCTGCCCTGCACTGTGTGTGACCCACGGCAGGCTTCCGGACGCCCTGCCGCCCTCCTGCTACTGGTCATGTCGCGATGAACTCAGAGTCAGGATGTACTCCCTTGACTGCATTTGTGCTTGTGACCCCCGCCCTCATCTACCTAGCTCTGCAACCATCTAAATATCGATATCCTCCCCCATTCCATCTCCCTCCCAGCCATGCTTCACTCAATTTATCCTCTTCCAGTAAGGCTGATCTCCAAATCTACTGTTCCCATTGCAAAACCTCATACCCCAAATCATGTTTCTGGGGCTTCCCCTCCCGTGGGATGCTTCCGCTCCTCCCTTCACCCACCCAAACTTAGTGACATTGCAATGCCAGTCGAATCCCTGTTCCTTCCATGAGGCCTCCCCCAATTACAGCCCACACCAATTCGCCCCAAGTCAGCGCCACAAAGCCCCTCCCCCCACTGCCTGGGATGGGCTTAGTCAATCATTCACTTGGAAACTTCTCCTTGGCAGCTGCACCCGCTCTCCTGCTACACACTACACGGCACCGAACACACAGTCAGTATGTGCCCAGCGAATGCTGTAGGACTCATCTGTGTAATGAAGACAACGAATACAAAATACTCTGCTCTAAAAACTGTCTCCCAACATGAAATAAAGTTGCTCTTCTCCTTTACTTCCTGGGACTCCGAGTTCTGTCCGTCCGGAGCAATTACAAAGTCCAGGGAAGTTTGTGGATTCTTCCCCAGAGTGCTTTCTGAGCAAGTGTTGGGAAACCAGATTCTGATTCTCCAGACCCTTCCAGCCAGCTGCCATCTGCTGCAACACTGAAGAGTCAAGTTACAGGAGGACACAGGACTCTTCCAAGCATGGACCAGTCCCGAGCCTAGGCTCTGCCCCATTGGGCTCCATCTTACCGCCCAAACACCCCATACGCTAACCCTGCCTTCGCCCTGACCTCCATGCTCTTTTCTGGAACACCCTTGATTCTTGTTAAAAGGTCCAACTCAACGGACACCCCTTCTGCCACCTAAAGCTCCCTCCCTCCCCGACCAATCATCACCTCTACCTTGTTCCTCCGGTTGGACCTGTTGTTCTTTGCTGGTGCCCCTCTCTACCCACTAAGGCAGAGATTTACCATCCGTTCTGGGAATTCCTCATACACCACAACTGCTAACTGTTGCCCTGGGGTTTCTCAAATTCCCCCTAAGTCTTCAACAGGAATCTGGGAATCAACATTAAGAGTGAGCTGGGTCCCTAAAATCACCCCTGACCCCACCACCCATCCCTCTGACATAAAAAGTCACACTAAAAAATAATAGACGGCTACAAAATGCTAATTGCTTTCCTTCTTTCTTCTTGTAAGAAATATGAACTCTAACATGATGACTTCCCAAGCATTTTAAATAATAATAAAATATTTCCAGTCCAAGTAGATATTTAAATGTGTTAGGTTCTGACATCAATTTTCAAAGGAGTTTAGGCTTGGAAAAGGCCTGAATCTTTTACAGTGAAAACTCTCAGAGCATTTTCTGTGTATACGCTGATTAACTCAGCTAGCAGCACGAGCCCCTACGTGAGGCTGAGACATGGCTTTAGTGACATTCCTGACCTCCTCCCTCTCTAGTCCAACGGCAGCCCCACCGAGGTGTCACAGGCCTGGAGCGTCGCAGACCAGGGCTGGCTGCACCACATCAGGCCATCAGGCAGAGGCTGTGCACACCATACACAGCAGGTGGGGGGCTGGGGGTGCCGTGGGGGAGGGCAAATCATTCGGCCAGCTCCTCTTCAACCTTCTAGGAAGGGCCCCAGGATGGTGGGCGAGCCCATCTGCTATGCACTCTACCCTTCATTTCCAAGCTCAGTGCACTCAAGGGCCCTTCAATCACCGTGTCTGGCTGGGGTAGCATTCTGTCTGTGCTCTCTCTTGCAGGGCATTCCACGGGAAGTTTGATCCTGTTCTAGACCTGCCCTTCTTTCTAACGTATCACCGCATCATGTTACTGCACACACACACCCCCACACGCCCCCAGCCCATCCTCTCCGTCTAGGCACCCATGCCCTTTTACGTCCATCTTTTGGAAACTAAAAGCAGGCTGTCCAACATAGCCCTCAAAATAGTTGTCATCTCAAGGAAAATAGATGTGGAGCTATTATGATCTAAATAACTTCAGCAAATAATTTTGATTCATCATGCCAGATTTTATCAAAACCCAGTTAGACTTGATTTTTTTTTAAGTTATTTATGTATGTGCTACC